CACATCAACCCATGTCACCCATGTCTACAAGTCTTAAGGTGGACCGCTTGTTACCGAAGTGACATCGACAACGGCATTTCCTTACACCTTATTATAGTTTAGATATCTCTGAGTACAAGATTCTCTGAATCTGTAAGAATACCGCAGTCTGGCATTTACACCACAGAAACCAAGCATATGATCAATTTCATTTGGCGTCTGACAGTATTAATCCAAGATACAGAGGGTGTATCTATCAGAAGTATTTGTATAATGCCTACAATTTGTTTTTATTAAAGCACGTGCATGGCGGTGTTCTCATTCACTACAGTCTCGGTGGAGCGGCACTATATGTGCAGCCATCCAACCATACAACTGCTTGTGTTTGGGAGGGAATTCCATTAACATAGCATTCATAGTTTGGCACTGATGCCAAACACTGTAAATCACATCTCATTGTTGACTTTCCATAGGTGGACTAACGCAGAGAGTATCCAGTACGACATGAGATCGTAAAGTGGAACTGTTTATGTATATTCAGTAAAACAAAAGGACTGACGAACCATGCCCGTTCGCGAATGAAGCAAGGACCACGTTGTTGGCGCTCACTGCGGTGTAGGGATGTTAGCTGTTTGCACGCAGTCATCGCCAGTGTACCCGCGTCATCATTCTCTTTAATAGGAACGGACCCATGTACATCTGACGGGTGTACTGTTTTTATCAATGCCATCAGTAATCAGATCGGTTTTCGATGATTGGATCGAAGGCATGTAAAATTCTTTTCTCATGAGAATCGGTTCTTGCATAACAAATGGACAAGAGTCAATATCACTCCAGCGAGTGTACAGTCGCGTTGATTACACTTGAGCGCAGATATGGATCTTTTGTGGTAAGTCGATCATAATTGTCGCGTTTAACAAACTTCCAGAAACCTTGACTTGAAGTCAATCAGTACAATTGTCCCGCGTAACAACTCGAACGGACATCCTCTCGCCCACATACCTATTTAGGGCCTAAGGAAAAGACATACCAGCCCTTACAGGTGCGTCATATTAATTATTATATATACATCCTCACATAAGTACAATATATAATTCCCCCAAGAGAAACGCAATATATTCCAAAATAAATGTGTGACTTCTGCATAGCGTGACAAACCATAAGTGTAATTATATGAATTATTATTTAGCCATAGCGTTCGGATTATATGGGGTTCGACACCCATTGGACAATGCAAAGTAAATGTAGTCAAGCTTTGATGACTGTTACATCATTCAGTAGGAGTTTGATTCCATAGTCTCATACCTGGAATTATTATTTGTCTACATCCTTTTTCCTGTAATTATAATTGCCCATACGTCATTGAGACCTATTTTGATGTTTTCCTTTCCCTTGTAGCTAAAAGTCGTCATTATGCAATTCAGTTTTCGTATTCTATTCCTGTTCATATTCTGTTGTTAATATTCCTTGTCTAACATACCTTGTATTGATCCTATCCAAGTTGTTTTCGTTTTATCTGTATTTATTTACACATCACACATTTCATAAAATATATGTTTTGTATCAACTGCCGCATAGAGACCTTTGTCTCTATCTATTTATTTATTTATGATGTTTTTTTCTTGTTTATTTGTGTGTGGTTTTTTTTTGGGTGGTGGTATTTTTTATTCACATTACTTGGTTACAGTTGAGTAAGATATATGGGTAGAGTAAAATGTCACTTATTGCGTAATAAAAAGCAGACAGTATAGTGTATATCGTATTGGGAAAATATAGATTAAACAGTTGACATGCTACACAGTAGTGAGTGAGTTATTATTGAACGTCACATCGGCAATATTTCAGCCATATCGTGACGCCACACAGTAACACAGAGAATGTGAAAGATTAAAACCTACATTACAGGACTGCATCTAGGACATTCCATTTTCTGTAAAAATGTTTCATATTGTCGTATTTCGTATCGATGCATTTCTCAATCTCATAAACGCCCTTTAATAACGTTCTGTAGATTGTAAAGCTAGGTTTGTGTCCTCATATATTCAATACGCAAATGTGGCGCTTTTCTAATAATATCACGTGGTTGAGTAAATGGTTACCACTGCAACAAAATAGGATATCATGATTTGACATTTCATACGTTTTACCAAGGACTTGAGTTACAAAATTGTTAAAATCTGTCCAGGACATTTTGATGATTGGACAATCAAGGTATACATGGTAAATATCCTCACTTACTGACCCACAAAATGTACACAGGTCATTATCTGTCAATTTCATGTTCAGTAGTTCTCGTTTAGTGTAAATGGCCCTGTGCAAAAACTTACATTGAAAATCTAAGAGTTTCGTGTCTTTAGTGGATTGTCTATATTGTGAAGATATGGTTTTCCAGTTTATCAAATCATTTAGTTCCCCGTTCCAATTGAGACACACATTCGGAATGTTATAATCAGAAATGAACTTATCATAGATTATCCTTGAGCCTTTACTAGTGTTCATCAAATTGTTCCAAGGAGAACACATAGAAAACGTCGGTAGATTTAAATTGTTGTTTGTTCGTATAACTTCTTTACACTGTTCCGGTATACTAAGGAGAACACGATTAACCTCAAGTACAGTACCCTTCATGCCAAATGTTCCTTTAAGTTCCGCAAATGTTAGAAAATCGTGGTCGTTACAAATATCTTTAATATAAACTACTATACATTTAAACCAGTTATGAATGATCAAGCTTGGCTGGTTACACTTGTGAGTTATCCATAGCGGTTGCATGAGTATTTCATTAATATCGTTATTGTTACACACATATTTTTTAACATATCTATGCCAGGCATTCAGAGAGTCTTTCCAAAATGGATTTTTAACTTTATAGTGTTTTGTTACGTTGGCTCCTAGGAGAAGAAGGTTTTGTAAAGGGAAGCCGACAAGATCATAGTTCTTAGAGTTTGAAATATATCTCTTCAAGCATGAACGTTTTAAAGAGTCGATAAAGGTTTTCACATCGACCATTCTTAGACAACCTTCTTCATACATTCGCACTACATTAATTCGTTTTATATTGTCAATTTTATCATTCCATATAAATTTGACGAATAATCTGTTCAAATCAGTAATAAAGTTTTCGGGGGATCAGGAAGAGATGAGAAGATGTGGACAATCGTGGATAAAGCTAAACTTTTTACGACTGTTATTTTCCCTATCAACCTTAAATTACGTATTTTCCAATTCAGTAGAATTCATTTGTTTTTTTATTTGTTTTTATTTTTATTACTACACTGTTGTCATAACCTCTGATTAATCTCGAATGGGCTAGCATCTAAATATTCTGCTGTATACAAATTCGTATAAACGACCTTTGTTCTTCTTTATCAGAGCTCCGTGTATTTAAGTACAGTAGGGCGTGGAGTCATCCCACAGATGGCATCCGTACCTTGTCAGCTTGCTGACGGGTTTAACCTCTTTGGTCATGTAGACAAGGGGTCCGTCGTCGGACCAGAAGGTCCGAATTCTAGCACGGGACTCGGAAATTTTATGACCGCTACATAAACGTAGTTTTGTTGATGTTATCAATAAAGAGCCTGGATTCCCCTGACACACTGGATGGAAATGGAGCAATGCTGTACACATGAGCGTCAATCAAAGATCACTCACTTTGTATACCATAACTACGATAACACTACATGCAGTTGATTGTGTTTTTAATGCCAATTTTTTTACTCTGATTAAAACCAAAACAAAACTGAAAGTGTGGTCACCATGACTACTCCACTGGCCTCATTGTCACACAGTACTCAAATAATGGTTGTTGTGATTGTATGACCCACCACTAGCGACCACACCAGGACCTGGTCTAGCCATTCCTCGCACTAATAACATCTGCCAGTCTCCTACTCATGCTGGCATCAAGCGTCGAACTCTCAGCATTAGTATCCCCTGCCACTCACGTCAAATCCTGCAGATTTTGAAAAGGACGATCTCCTGCTCGAATGAGACGTCCAAGAAAGAACCAGTGATGTTCGCTGGGGTTGGGGACACGGACCATGGTAATGTTTCTCTGGGGTTGGAGGCACGGGCCATGGTAATGTTTCTCTGGGGTTGGAGACACGGGCCATGGTAATGTTTCTCTGGGGTTGGGGGCACGGACCATGGTAATGTTTCTCTGGGGTTGGGGACACGGGCCATGGTAATGTTTCTCTGGGGTTGGAGACACGGCCCATGGTAATGTTTCTCTGGGGGTTGGAGGCACGGGCCATGGTAATGTTTCTCTAGGGTTGGGGACGCGGGCCATGGTAATGTTTCTCTGGGGTTGGGGGCACGGGCCATGGTAATGTTTCTCTGGGGTTGGGGCACGGGGCACGGGCCATGGTAATGTTTCGCTGGGGTTGTTCAGCTAATGGGCGATGGCGGAGCAAAGAGTGTGAGGTCTAGTGTTGTCATCCATGGATATCCAACGACCGGTAAGAGGGTGGTTGTCAAGGTGTGGCACGAGGGCGGCATACAGTACTTCCTGCTGAGGACATTGACAACTGAGTTTCTGGCTTCCTGTATACCTAATTGTCACTTAATTAGCTCTATATCACTCTGCTGTGTTCACATCTCCTTATCATCATCGTTTGTGTCCCCTGGCTTTACCTTATCCCAATGATCATTGTTTTTATAACTGTTTTTTTCTCTTGCCTCATTGATTGATTGTATATACATGTCCATCTCTGGCTTCCTGTAAATCTGGCACATAAACATGTTTTCTACACCTGTCTTTAATCACCTGAAGAAGGGACAAGGAGTAGCCCAGAAACGTCGTGTTATACAATAAAGAAGCAGTAGTCATCCATATACTCGTGGTATATATTCACCAACTTGTAAATGCCTCTCAAGAATCAGGAGTATTTGCTATTCTTGCAGTATCTTAGTTATAAAGCATTTCCTGAATACATGACAGTGTGACTTCTATTGTCATGCATTCATACTAGTATCATTGATATCTCTTGTTATCCATTTCCTACTCGCTGTTATCATTGCAGGCTACGTGACTCTGGCTTTCGATATTTCAAACGAGACACAACTGCGGTCGGACCTCCTGACCAACTACTCCCTGAAGAGTCGCCCTGACGCCGTAACCGCCGTCAACCTCGTCTTCAACATCATCACCATAAACGAACTGGTGAGATAGCAGGACCCAATCACGTGTTATCGTTTAGATCACTAATAGGGAGCTATATGTCACGTGGCACTGAGAGCTGGTAATAAGACGCCATCTCTTGGGTCCTACTCACAACACAGACAGAATGTTGTATCTCGCCGTTGTAAGTTATTTCTACTCGTTCTGCTACAGCAACAGTGGAGTCCTGCGAATGTATTAGTATTCAGCTGAAACTACCATTCGCATTCAACATATACATAAGCCCGAGGACCGTCAGGCAGTTTCCCCGGTGTAAGATCAGGCTATTGTCCAGACTTCATTATTTAAAGGCCGCGGTGAAATATTGCATGATCAATACACCAGAAGCAATGCCTACATGCACTCTAGATACCGATGTGTACTCAATCCCCCCCACATATATATAAAACATTAACTTTTTTGACGGAAATGTATATACCTGTATCTGTTCCATGAGTGGTTCCGGCATGTCTCTCATCTTTAACACGATTTGTACATTAACATAACAGAGAGCAGAATCTTTTTACCTACCTTGTAAAGAGCTTGAATGTAATATATTTACCTGAGCACTAATATTAATCAAAGGGATTTGCGAGTGCAAACAGCACATATAACATCAAATCTTGAGTGTTTTGCATTTTTTCGAAAACTGAATCAATGATATCTTTAAGAAAGGAGTATTCTGTAAAAATTCAACAGAGAGATTTGAAACACAAAATTAATGTCCCCACATATTTGCCAAGGGTATTGGAGTGGCCGGGTTCCACTGGTGTACTAGGCTTCTTCCTGGGGGTGCATTAGGTTCAGTGACGTCGTCGTCAATCTCGCAATGCTTCTCCGGATGTTCATGTACCTATCCTCGACAACTGACCTGTACTTACCCAGGATAACACACCTGTACTTATCCAGGATAACATACCTGTACTTATCCTCGACAACTGACCTGTACTTATCAAGCTTAACAGACCAGGATAGCTATTCTCGAAACGTTCGTAACCTTACGAACTTCGTAAGCTCATTCTTAACACATTGGCTACGATCAAAGTTAAGAATTCTTAAGGCTACGAACGTTTCGAGAATAAGGGCCCTGTACTTATCCGGGTTAACAGACCTGTACCTATCCTCGACAACTGACCTGTTCTTATCCAGGTTAAAACCTGTACTTATCCAGGTTAACAGACCTGTAGTTATCCGGGTTAACAGACCTGTACTTATCCAGGTTAACAGACCTGTACTTATCCAGGTTAACAGACCTGTAGTTATCCGGGTTAACAGACCTGTACTTATCCAGGTTAACAGACCTGTACTTATCCAGGTTAGCAGACCTGTACTTATCCAAGTTAACAGACCTGTACGTATCCAGGATAGCAGACCTGTATATATCCAGGCTAACAGACCTGTACTTATCCAGGTTAACACACCTGTACTTATCCAGGTTAACAGACCTGTATATATCAAGGTTAACAGACCTGTACATATCCAGGTTAGCAGACCTGTACATATCCAGGATAGCAGACTTGCACATATCCAGGATAGCAGACCTGTACTTATCCAGGTTAACACACCTGTACTTATCCAGGTTAACAGACCTGTACTTATCCAGGTTAACAGACCTGTACATATCCAGGTTAACAGACCTGTACATATCCAGGTTAACAGACCTGTACTTATCCAGGTTAACACACCTGTACTTATCCAGGATAGCAGACCTGTACTTATCCAGGTTAACAGACCTGTACTTATCCAGGTTAACAGACCTGTACTTATCCAGGTTAACAGACCTGTACTTATCCAGGATAGCAGACCTGTACTTATCCAGGTTAACAGACCTGTACTTATCCAGGATAGCAGACCTGTACTTATCCAGGTTAACAGACCTGTACTTATCCAGGATAGCAGACCTGTACTTATCCAGGTTAACAGACCTGTACTTATCCAGGATAGCAGACCTCTACCTGTCCACGACATTTGAAAACGTAGAATCCGCTGGGTCTACTTCTGACCGGTGTAAATTCGGAAGGAACGGTGATCCTGGGGCGTTTCTGTTCAGAACTCGGAGGACTTTGAACCCACTGTACTGAAATGTTTGTCATGCCAAGTTGTTTCCTCAACTCTCTCAATAAAGATGCCCCCTGTGCTGGCTACGTGACATGTATTTCACGCATTTTACTATTATCATTTATTATATGATATTTGTATAGCGCCAATATCCAGGTCAGCTCAGCTGCCCAAAGGCCCAATGGGTGTACTGTATAGTGATCGTAGTCAGGCTCAGAATGACTCAGGCGCCACTGACCACCAGTGGTTTTCCCGTTTCTTCATGATATCAAGAAATGTCACATAAACGTGATTAAAAGATGAATCTTGATATTTCAGGTGACACGCACACAGACGTTTTCTGTATCGGGGTACTTCACAGTGGTAAGTGTTGGAAGCATCTTCGTCAAAGTGACAAAGTGATCACACCGGGGTGTCGTAGAACGTCAAAGTGATAAAAACCTAGTGATCACACTGGGGTGACGGAGTACGTCAAAGTGACAAAGTGATCACACCGGGGTGACGGGGTGCGTCAAAGTGACAAAACTTAGTGATCACACTGGGGTGACGGGGTACGTCAATGTGACAAAACTTAGTGATCACAACGGGGTGACGGGGTACGTCAAAGTGACAAGACTTAGTGATAACACTGGGTGACGGCGTACGTCAAAGTGACAAGACTTAGTGATAACACCGGGTGACGGGGTACGTCAAAGTGACAAGACTTAGTGATCACACAGGGTGTCGGGGTACGTCAAAGTGACAAAACTTAGTGATCACACCGGGGTGACGGGGTACGTCAAAGTGACAAAAGCGTAGTGATCACACCGGGGTGACGGCGTACGTCAAAGTGACAAAAGCGTAGTGATCATACCGGGGTGATGGCGTACGTCAAAGTGACAAAAGCGTAGTGATCATACCGGGGTGACTGGGTACATGACAAGAGTTATACAGATCACATCTTGTCTTCTTGCACTTCGACTATTCCGTTCATTTGGGTAGTATTTGTAAGAGTATGGGAGATAAGACCGTCATCGCGCTAATACCGCTTTGTGCAAATGGATCCAGATTTAGAGACGATCAACGTAAGTCGCCTCTTACGACAAACATTGCTGATATATATTACGGAATTCCAACGAGGCAATTTGTAATTGATGATGAGCGCTGAAACTACTGGTAAACTGGGTTTACTCTCAAGGTAAGTTTCTCATGTGTAGTGTCACATCATCAGATTGTTGAAGCTTCATGTTACATCTGCAGGTATGGAATGACACCCGACTCAGTTGGGACAAGAAACAATACAACAACATTGGTTTCTTCTTCTCTGATGAGACGGAAATATGGCGCCCCTCTCTCGTGGTGAAAAACGCGTAAGTTCTCGACTCCATACGTTCTGGCAATTGGATAACTGTGTGGACACATGAATGGTATCTTCATTGATATACTTGTATATGCCTCGATATACCACACAGTCAAAGCTAGATTATTGCAGCCAAAGTCTCAGTTTTTATTCATGGCACGACCTGTCATTTTGGTCTGGGGAAAAGCTGGAGTTGATGCATATCCTGGTCCATGCTCATATAATGATAGACATTGATGAAGTGTGCTGGATAGCTGTACTTTGTTTAAAAAAACACAAGTCTTCTTCCTACACAATTTTACTGGGTTTTTGGTGTTTTTTATTACAGCATTGACGATTTAGATGTCATCGCTAACGAAAACATCCCGCTGAGAGTTAATGACAAGGGAAAAATATACTGGAATCCACCCGGAATTTACAAGACCCACTGCGACATTGACATCACTTACTACCCCTTCGACTCCCAGGAATGTTCCGTGATCGTGCAAAGCTGGGGCTACAACCTCCGGGAACTCGACCTGTTCAAGTTTGGCTCCGGCGTTGGGACAACTGAGTTTGAGAGGAATGGCGAGTGGAACTTGATTGATGCATTCAGCGAAAGAGAGGAAAGGACGCACGATATTGACTCGGAAACGTACGCCACAGTGTCCTTCGTCTTCAAGCTACAGCGGAAGCCGGACTACTATGGCGTCAACATCCTCCTCCCCGTCATGGTTCTGTCCGTCCTGTCGGCCCTGGTGTTCGTCCTGCCCCCGGACAGCGGAGAGAAGATGGGCTACTCCCTCACCGTGCTTCTCTCCTTTGCTGTCTTCCTGACCCTCATCGCCGACCGCATGCCCACCACCTCCCGCGACACATCATTCATGGGTAAGAGACGGCTTGGTGTAGTGAATGTGAATGTAGTGGCAGTAGTTGTAGTTGCCGTAATGGTAGTAGTAGAGTGAGTGAGTTTAGTTTTACGCCGCATTCAGCAATATTCCAGTTATATGGCGGCGGTCTGTAAATAATTGAGTCTTGACCAGACAATCCAGTGATCAACAGCATGAGCATCGATCTGCGCAATTGGGATACGATGACATGTGTCAACCAAGTCAGCGAGTGTGACCACCGGATCCTGTTAGTCGCCTCTTACGACAAGCATGGGTTGCTGAAGACCAATTCTAATCCGGATCTTCAAGGCTTGGTAGTAGTAGAAGTAGTACTAGTAGTAGTAGAAGCGGCAGCGGCACCTGTCTGAGACCGTTCAACTGTCTATCTGTCAGTGATCAAGTGATAGTATTTCACCTGTCTACCTGTATGAGATCGTTCAGCTGTCTACCTGCCTGTGATCATGTGATTGTGTTTCACCTGTCTACCTGTCTGTGATCATGTGATTGTGTTTCAGCTGTCTACCTGTCTGTGATCATGTGTCTGAGCGGCATGTCTGTCCTACTGACCATCTTCATCCTTGACTTAAATTTTCGGGAGGATGAAGTACCACCATGGCTGGAACGCATGACCAATGTTATAATCATGCCCCTGGTCTGTGCTCGGGGCTGTCAAAGGAAGTCGAGTTCAGTCGCCGTCAGCGACGAAAGGAAGTTACGAAACATAAAGGTCCGCACGGCCACGAGGAAGGAGTCTGATTCTGATGAGGAACCCACAGTGAGAGAATCCTCGGCCAAGTCTCGTGCTGAGCTGAACTGGAAGGACATTGCACGTGCCGTTGATGCACTCATGTTCAGAATCTACTTGATCATCATCATCGTCATGTCCGTCATATTGTTCTCTGTCCTGGGGTCACAAGCCAGCACGTCGAGCCGTGAAATTTAATCAACTGTAGCAACTTCATAATTAAAGTTGAATAATTCTTTCAGACACATTGATGATACAATCTACAGACATCAACAGCTACGGGTTTTGACAACAGTATTCACAGCAATATTGGGAACATTTTGTAGACGAATGACTTTGTGATACATTTGTCTTTCTTCAGTAGTCTTACTACCAAGCTGTGTAACTGATGGTACATTACATGGTGTCTCACATTACTCGCCTCCTCTTTACATTCTTGCCTACTGTTCCTCAACTGGTTGAAAAAGGCCATCATGGTGTTTCCATGTAGTGATTAGTTTCAATAAATACAGGTAGATGTTGATGGTATCGATAACAAGTTGATCTAATACCAGCTACAGCGCTAGACTATGTCGATATTATCGATTACATCTATGAAATATAAAGCAATTATTACTGGAAACGTACATATTGAGCTGGTGTAAAAGGCGTCCATACGTATGGGAACATACCGTGAGAGAAGGTCGTTGTTAGGCTCCAACAGAACCAGCCCATCTGTATACCCGTCCACCTACTGAAACTCTGGCTGGTCAACCACAACCCAATCTGTTAGTAGGTGATAGGGGATTATGTCACAAGGTACGCATGATATTTTCCTAAGAATATTGCAGTGCTGACATCTGCATGGCAGTAAAGTATTACAATAGCTCATTAAACGGTTACCGAGTTTACACCACATATCGCATGAACAAAAACACAGACTAAGTTTTCTTTTCTGAAATTGTGAAAATGTCCTTGGTAAGCATTTGTTCACTTGGGCGAGTAAGCAAATATTGTGATCTGCAGGGCGTTTTGACAGTGTCACCATTATTCTATATCATACAAAATGTATCAACAATCTAAACTATACTGGAAAACTGTTATTGGTCATGAACATTTCCATGTATCCACTTACATCTGGGTTCCATATTGGTTATCGTTTAGTTGTTATCATATTGGAGAGAAACACAATATTTGTGAAGAACAGTATCTATAAACATTACATAACCAATGGTAAGCGAATGTGGTCCACCACTTATCATACGAGTGGGCCAAATAATGAGAACGCCAAGTAAGATATAGATGCAAACATCATAGCTGTGTTTTTGGACTGGGAGGACGGGTTACCAGGGTCGTGTACGAAAATTCATGATGATGATGATGATTTGGAGATTTTACGTGCGCTTCAGGACATGATGCACATTTCGCCCACGGGCCCGCCAGGCCTTCAGTGTTGATTGAAACAGGGGTGATTGGACTGACAGATATGGAAACCTGAAGAGGGCGTTATGGCTGCATCATTCAATTTGTATGATTTTTTTAAATTTGGAAAATTGCCAGAAAAGGTATTTTAATAATTCGGAAATTTGCCAGAAGTGGTAGCGGGACATTTTGGCTTGGCCCTAATTTTTTGTAATTTTTTTTTTTGGGGGGGGGGGGGTGTCCAGTGTAATCCATGGTGTAAATTAACTTCTGAGAGTTTAAGTGCAGCTTTGGCTACCTGGTCGGCATGTTGCCAAACACACCAACATGGGCAGGCATCCAGATGAACTCTACCTTTCTGCCTTAGGCGTGTAAATTCTGACTGCTTTGATTTTAGTATATTCTCCCAAAAAAGAAACACATAGATGTATTTTTAGGAATTAAATGTGATAACTTTAATTCGAGATAACACATGTCAATCTGGATCAGTTGCAGCCGACTTTCACAGTATAAAAGGTCAAATGTCTTTTAACATGTTTTGCTTATAAAAAATGATCGCGTCCGTTCTAAGTTGGGCGTTGTGTTCAATATCTGCAGTGGCCACCATGAACCCCAAAAACTGCTGCACACCGTCTCGGCATGGACTGACAAAGTCTTTGAATTCGACCTTGTGGAATTCTTGCCTATTCCTCTTGCAATGCCTGCGATTGTTGAACTGACATCTGGGGCGCTTGTTGCCCTTCACGTACGCGTCGGCCGAAGTCATCCCACAAATGCTTGATTGGGTTGAGGTCGGGCAATTTGGAAGGCCAAAGGAGCACTGTAATGTTCTCATTCTGAACATACTGAATAGTGGCATGTGCTGTATGAGGCCTGGCAGTATCGTGCTGTAACAATGATCAATGATAGGAACCATGTGAATGATTGAGATGTCGTCTCTTTACCGAAGAGCAGTTAAATTGCCCTGAATTGTCCCGATACCGCAAATGAAGTACCCAGATGTAACTATCCTGCGCTGCGATGGTAATCCGAGGTCTACCATTTGGAGGCCGATCTTTCGTAGAGTTGGTTTGTCACAATTCTACCGGCTGTTGGTACTCTGGAGAACATAGAGGTGACGTGCAACGGCAGATTGAGACTCCCCAGCCTCCAGACATCCAATGTCAATGTTTCGATGTACAACAGTCAGTCGCAGCTTAACTATATCCTTTCTTGTAGCTAAACAATGCCAGTGAAGGTCTAAAAGCAAAGCGGCCTTATATCGGCAATGTCCCTGCTCACGATTCCTCAGAACTTGATGTGCAGTTAGCGATCGACTTTTTCTCCATGGCATTTCCATGCAAGTTGACAGTTTCGAAAGTAAACGTGCATAAAAGTTTCCGAATGTGCGGTTTTGCGCTGTGCATTCGTTCCATGTACACAGACCAGTATCATAAGGGCGAAATTGTAACAATCAAAGACTAGTTTTGAAAAATATTTGAAATTTCCTATATCAATATCATCTATGCGTTTCGTTTTGGGGAGAGTATATTTTGTTTATTACCCTGTCCATGCATTAGTGCCTGTGCCTAAAGGTACAAATACGGACGAGAGACAGTCACAAACCACTCTGTGGTTTTAGACAGGTGATACACTTTACACTTTGTTAAAAAGATTGCCCATACGCTAGTATATCTACATGTTACTATATATTACTAAGCTCTTCACTACTTCAATGTGAAACATGTTATACTTGGGTGTATTTCTCAGATATTTTCATGTACTACTTTTCATAATAGATCATTTGAATTCTGGTTAGGTTTATTACACTGTTAATTTTGAATGGATATACAGTGGAATCCCTCTAACCCGGCAGCCCTCCAATCCGGCATGTCCCGACAGAAGCTAGTTAATTTATGATCATTCTCTGAACCGGCACGCCCTCTATACCGGCATTTTTATCGGTCCCAACGAGTGCCGGTTTAGAGGGCTTCAACTGTACATTATATATATCATAGACCTTACTGTCGCAGTTGTGGAAGAATATATATGTAACAATGTAAAACGTTATGAAGAGAGCGCCGAAAAGCTCGTTAGTCCAGTCTCTTCTTATTATGAATATGCGCGTTTGTTTACAAACAAGAGAAAAGTCCGGTCACGTGAAATGCAAATTAGCCTGTGGCAGTGGTGTTATGTTAGTCATCGCTGTGCCGGAATGTGGATTCCAGTATACCACAAGCGAGGTTGTTAGCGCAGTGGATACGACCGACGTTTTCCAACGTAAACAAACATGCAGGATGAAAGGTGTCAATGTCGTGCCGTGTTCACATCAGTTCTGGAACACAGAGGCATGACAGACGTATGGATGTGAAAACGTGTCCTTAACAGTCATGGTTCAGCTGGCAATCCTCTCACCAGTACATAACCGTAGTGAGTGAGTTTGCATTAAGCTTTATACTATTGCGTCGGGGGACACAACAAATAAACCTTACATAATGCACCTATGTGGCGAATCACACTCAGGTCTTCACCTTCGTCTTCGGGTGTAACGCTTCTACCCCAAAGTTACACGCACGCACGCACGCACGCATGCACGCACTGTCCCTGTTATTGTATTTGTTATCAAGTCTGGATAGCCCAACATGGCCGTCTCGGAAATCAGTTCCATCTCATTCATGAGGTAGACCATCGTACATTATTTTTATTTTAATATTTAACTAAAATGAAAACTGAACATTTTACGACATATCGAGAATTTTAAGAATTACAAGTAATTTACAGAACATTAAAATGTACGCACGTTTTAGCCAATTACCTTTAGGCCATATTTCAGTTATCCCTAAATCCTATGAGGGTTTCAGACATTATGCCAAATATGTGTAACAACTATTCAGGTTGTTAGATCAGCACAAACACATTAAGACCAAAACATAAAACTCGTTAGAATTCACTACGTTTCCCTGGTTCCACTGTTATATGTTTCACCATTGATGTTCCTCAGAGTACCTCCCTCGTTAACAAGGTAGGCGCTGCCTTTCAGTATTGTTAAATGTTCTGGCACACTTTACTGATTTAGGGCTTTCGTTAAAAATAAAACTCAACAACCAAGAATATGACGGAATTGTTTAAAGTACTTCGTCAGGAATTGAACTGTCATGTTGATAATTGGAAATGCATTTATTTCCCATTACAAAACCATTAACTCCCATGTAAAAAGAACCACAGTACCAACACGTGAATCCATGCTGCAGTCGATTTGGTTGTACATTATACACAGTACAGCATTAACGTAGATTATTTCCACTCATTGAAGATGTGTAATGGACTGACTACGGCATTCATTACCCAATCACCCCGATAGCTGTTTGAAGCAGCATGTATTGTGTTCACTGGGCGACGCCACATGTATGCAGAGTGACAACTATAATTTAAGTTAAGATGTTTTTGTCATCAATGTCGATTAATCTCATGTGTTGTTTGCATATGAAATGTCTACTGATAGATATCCATTAACACCGCCAATCTGAAAACAAATAAATTTACATCAAATCCCAATACATTGTACTGTGTAAATTACAATTGAAGCAAACTTAAAATCTGTCATTTAGAATATTTGTCTAGAATGAGTAGACCAGTTGGCGAGCACAGCGCCAGCACACAATAGGTAGGCTTCCAGTCGATTCCGCAACACATGAACAGATCGGGGCTGCAGGAAACATCTACATACTGAAGGTGGAGCGCTCGCCACGATGGACAGAGGCCTGGTACAGCTACTACTTGCCATAGCACTTTACAGTAAGTAACATTTATCCGTATATCCATCGAATCATGGACTAACAACCGGTACATATGTACTCAGATCACGATCGGTGTACATCTGAACGATATTCAGCGAGACCGCCATCGGGAAGGGAGCCTGCGGGTTTCGGATGGAGGGTGTGGGGATGGAGGGTGTGGGGTGTTAGGGTAGAGAGGATACAAGACTAGTGACCACATGAGTTTGACTGGGAACCTAACAACCTGTCTTTCTGCCTAGACACAAGAACCAGTAGTATTTCTTGCTCAACAGTTTATTTCATCACACTGTGAGGATGCGAGACACGATGGCAAGAAAGGTTCGTAAACGTGGTCCCAACAACAAGCAGGCGTAACGCTGGGCGCAGGTGAGATCACCGAACACGGTTGAGACATGGTTCCTGGTAGCATATTTGAGACATGGCTGAAACATGGTTACTGGTGTCATGGTTGAGACATGGTTACTGAAAGTATGGTTGAGACATAGTCACTGGTGACATGGTTGAGACATGGTTACTGGTACATGGTTGAGACATAGTCACTGGTGACATGGTTGAGACATGGTTACTGGTACATGGTTGAGACATGGTTACTGGTGACATGGTTGAGACATGGTTACTGGTGAAATGGTTGAGACATGGTTACTGGTGAAATGGTTGAGACATGGTTACTGGTGACATGGATGAGACATGGTTACTGGTGATATGGATGAGACAAGGTGCCTGGTGACATGGTTGAGATATGGTTACTGGTGACATGGTTGAGACATGGTTACTGGTGACATGGTTGAGACATGGTTACTGGTGAAATGGTTGACACATGGTTACTGGTGACATGGTTGAGACATAGTTACTGGTGACATGGTTGAGATATGGTCACTGATAGCATGCTTTAGACATGGTTACTGGTAGAATAATTGAGGCATGGTTACTGGTGACATGGTTGAGACATGGTCACTGATAGCATGGTTGAGACATGGTAACTGGAAGTATGGTTGAGACACGGTTACTGGTGACATAGTTGAGACATCGTTGAGACATGGTTATTGGTCGTATGGTTGAGACATGGGTACTGGTCGAATGGTTGAGAGATGGTTAATGGAAGTATGGTTAAGACATGGTTGACACATCGTTACTGATGAAATGGGTGAGACATGGTTACAGGTCGTGTGGTTGACACATGGCTTATGGTGTCATGGTTAAGACAGGGTTGCAGGTGACATGGTTGATACATGGCTACTGGTGACATGGTTGAAACATTGTTACTGGTGACATGGTTGAGACATGGTTACTGGTGACATGGTTAAGACATGGTTGACACATGGTTACTGATGAAAAGGTTGAGACATTGATACTGGTCGTGTTGTTGACACATGGCTACTGGTGACATGGCTGCGACATGGTTACTGGTAGTTACTTGTCGTATGGTTGAGACATGGTTACTTGTAGTATGGTTGAGACTTGGTTTCTTGTCGTATGGTTGAGACATGGTTACTTGTGACATGGTTGAGAGATGGTCACTGATGACATGGTTAAGACATGGTTACTGGTGACATGGTTGAGACATGGTTACTGGAAGTATGGTTGAGACATGGTTACAGGTAGTATGGTTGGGACATGGTTACTGGTGACATGGTTGAGAAATGGTTACTGGTCGAATGGCTGAGACGTGGTTACCTGTAACATGGTTGAGACATGGCTTCTGGTGACATCGTTGAGACATGGTTACAGGTAGTATGGTTGAGATATGGTCACTGTTACATACTGTGGCATGGTTGAGACATGGTTACTGGTACAGACAATGTTACTGATGACATGGTTGAGACATGGTTACTGGTGCTATGGTTGAGACATGGTTACAGGTAGATTGGTTGTGATATGGTCACTGTTAGCATGGTTGAGACATGGTTACTGGTGACATGGTTGAGACATGGTTACTGTTAACATTGTTGAGACTTGGTTACTTGTCGTATGGTTGCGACATGGTTACTTGTCGTATGGTTGAGACATGGTTTCTTGTCGTATGGTTGAGACATGGTCCCTTGTAGTATGGTTGAGAGATGGTTACGGGTGACATGGTTGAGACATGGTTACTGGTGACATGGTTGAGACATGGTTACTGGTGTCATGGTTGTGACATGGTTACTATCAACATTGTTGAGACATTGTTACTTGTCGTATGGTTGAGACATGGTTACTTGTCGTATGGTTGAGACATGGTTTCTTGTCGTATGGTTGAGACATGGTTACTGGTGACATGGTTGAGACATGGTTACTTGAGATATGGTTGAGACATGGTTACTGGTGAGACATGGTATGGTTGAGACCTTGTCGTATGGGTGAGACATGGTTACTGGCGACATGGTTGAGACATGGTTACTGGTGACATGGTTGAGACATGGTTACTGGTGTTATGGTTGAGACATGGTTACTATTAACATTGTTGAGACTTGGTTACTTGTCGTATGGTTGAGACATTGTTACTTGTCGTATGGTTGAGACATGGTTTCTTGTCGTATGGTTGAGACATGGTTACTGGTGACATGGTTGAGACACGGTTACTTGTGACATGGTTGAGACATGGTTACTGGTGTTATGGTTGAGACTTGGTTCCTGGTAGCATCGTTGAGACATGGTTACCTGTAGGATGGTTGAGACATGGTTACAGGTAGTCTGGTTGAGACATGGCTACTGGTGGCATGGTTGAGAAATGGTTACTGGTCGAATGCCTGAGACGTGGTTACCTGTAACATGGTTGAGACATGGCTTCTGGTGACATCGTTGAGACATGGTTACAGGTAGTATGGTTGAGATATGGTCACTGTTAGCATGGTTGAGACATGGTTACTGATGGCATGGGTGAGACATGGTTACTGGTCGTATGTCTGAGACAAGGTTACTGATGACATGGCTGAGACATGGTTACTGGTGCTATGGTTGAGACATGGTTACAGGTAGATTGGTTGAGATATGGTCACTGTTAGCATGGTTGAGACATGGTTACTGTTAACATTGTTGAGACTTGGTTACTTGTCGTATGGCTGAGACATGGTTACTTGTCGTATGGTTGAGACATGGTTACTTGTCGTATGGTTGAGACATGGTTCCTTGTCGTATGGTTGAGACATGGTTACTGGTGACATGGTTGAGACATGGTTACTGGTGACATGGTTGATACATGGTTACTGGTGTTATGGTTGAGACATGGTTACTATTAACATTATTGAGACTTGGTTACTTGTCGTATGGTTGAGACATTGTTACTTGTCGTATGGTTGAGACATGGTTTCTTGTCGTATGGTTGAGACATGGTTATTGGTGACATGGTTGAGACATGGTTACTTGTGACATGGTTGAGACATGGCTACTGGTGTTACGGTTGAGACTTGGTTCCTGGTAGCATCGTTGAGACATGGTTACCTGTAGGATGGTTGAGACATGGTTACAGGTAGTCTGGTTGAGACATGGTTACTGGTGTCATGGTTGACACATGGTTACTGGTAACATAGTTGAGACATGGTTACTGGTAACATGGTTGAGACATGGTTTCTGGTGGCATGGTTGAGACAGGGTTACTTGTAACATGGTTGAGACATGGTTATTGGTGACATGGTTGAGACAGGGTTACTGATAACATGGTTGAGACATGGTTACTGGTGACATGGTTGAGACATGGTTACTGGTAGCATGGTTGAGACATGGTTACTGGTGACATGGTTGAGACTTGGTTACTAGTGACATGGTTGAGACATGGTTACAGGTAGTATGGTTGAGACATGTTTACTGGTGGCATGGCTGAGACATGGTTACTTGTTACATGGTTGAGACATAGTTACTGGTGACATGGTTGAGACATGGTTACTGGTGACATGGTTGAGACATGGTTACTGGTGACATGGTTGAGACATGGTTACTGGTGACATGGTTGAGACATGGTTACTGGTAACATAGTTGAGACATGGTTACTGGTGGCATGGTTGAGACATGGTTACTGATGACATGGTTGAGACATAGTTACTGGTGACATGGTTGAGACATGGTTACTGGTGACATGGTTGAGACATGGTTACTGGTGACATGGTTGAGACATGGTTACTGGAAGCATGGTTGAGACATGGTAACTGGAAGTATGGTTGAGACACGGTTACTGGTGACATGGCTGAGACATGGTTGAGAGAGGGTTACTGGTAACATGGTTGAGACATGGTCACTGATGACATGGTTGAGACATGGTTCCTGGTAGAATGGTTGAGACAGGGTTACTGGTCACATGGTTGAGATATGGTTACTGGTAACATGGTTGAGACATGGTTACTGGTGACATGGTTGAGACATGGTTACTGATAGCATGGTTGAGACATGGTAACTGGAAGTATGGTTGAGACACGGTTACTAGTGACATGGCTGAGACATAGTTACTGGTGGCATGGTTGAGACATGGTTACTTGTAACATGGTTGAGACATGGTTACTGGTGACATGGTTGAGACATGGTTACCGGTAACATGGTTGAGACATGGTTACTGGTGACATGGTTGAGACATGGTTACTGGTAACATGGTTGAGACATGGTTACTGGTGACATTGTTGAGACATCGTTACTGTTGACATGGTTGAGACATGGTTACTGGTAGTATGGTTGAGACATGGTTACTGGTGACATGGCTGAGACATGGTTACTGGTGACATAGTTGAGACATGGTTACTGGTGGCATGGTTGAGACAGGGTTACTTGTTACATGGTTGATACATAGTTACTGGTGACATGGTTGAGACATGGTTACTGGTGACATGGTTGAGACATGGTTACTGGTAACATAGTTGAGACATACTTACTGGTGGCATGGTTGAGACATGGTTACTGGTGACATGGTTGAGACACAGTTACTGGTAACATAGTTGAGACATAGTTACTGGTGACATGGTTGAGACCTGGTTACTTGTACCATCGTTGAGACATGGTTACTGGTGACATGGTTGAGACATGGTTACTAGTGACATG